GATCAAACTGGTTCGAACTGTATCAAAACGGTTTAGACCGGTTCAAACCCGTTTAGGACGGCTCAAACCGGATCAAGCATATTTAGACCAGTTCAAACCAGTTTTGCTCGGCTCAAAATGGATCAAACCAGCTTGGTGAGGATCAAACCAGATCAAACTGGATCAGAACAGATCAAACCGGTTCAAACTTGATCATAGCAGTTTAGTCTGGTTCAAAACTGGATCAAACTCGATTAGACCGGATCAAACTTGTTCATACCAGATTAAACCGATTTAGACCAGACCAAAATAGGAGGAAACTGGTTCAATCCAGATAAAGCCCGTTTAGACTGGTTCAAACCGGTTTAGACTATCTCAATCCAGATCAAACCAGTTTAGATTGGTTCAAACCGGATCAAATAGAACATACCGGATCAAACTGATTCTTACCGGATCAAACCGGTTTAGACCAGTCCAAAATCGGATCAAACCGGTTCAATCCAGACAATACTGGTTGAGACCGGATCAAACCAGATCAAACCTGGTTCAAAGCGATTGACAACGGTTCCAAAAGAGAACAACCTGGTTTGAACTGAATCAAACCGATTTAGGCTGGCTCAAATTGGATCAAACCAGCTTAGTTTAGTTAAAACAGGATCAAACTGGAGCAGACCGGATCAAACTGGTTCAAACTGGATCATACCAGTGTAGACTGGTTCAAAACTGGATCAAACTGGTTCAAAGTGTTTTAAACCGCATCTATCCAGATTAGATTGCTACAGGACTGCCAAACCGAATTCAACAGGTTTAGACTGGTTCACACCAGTTTAGGCCAGCTCAAAATGGATCAAACCAGCTTAGCCTGGGTCAAACTGGGTCAAACTGGATCAGACCGGATCAAACTGGATCACACCAGAGTCGACTGGTTCAAAACTGTATCAATTTGGATCACACCATATCAAACTGGATCAAACCAGTGTAGACTGGTTCAGAACTGGGTCAAACTCGTTCAAACCGGATTGAACCTGCATAATCTGGATTAGATTGTTACAGGTCCGCAAAATGGAATCAAACCAGTTTAGACCGGTTTAAACCAGTTTTGGCCAGCTAAAAAAGGATCAAACAAGCTTAGCCAGGATCAAACCTGATCAAACTGGATCAGACCAGATCAAACTGGTTCAAACTGGATCATACCAGTTTAGACTGGTTCAAAACTGTATCAAACTGGATCATACTGGATTAAACCGGTTTAGACCAGTCCTAAATAGGACGAAACTGGTTCAATCCAGATAAAACCAGTTTAGACCGGTTCAAACCACATCAAGTAGATCATACCAGATCAAACTGATGCATTCCGGATCAAACCAGTTTAGATCAGTCCAAAATCGGATCAAACTGATTCAATCCAGACAATACTAGTTTAGTCCGGCTCAAACGGGATCAATCCTGGTTCAAAGCAGATTGAACCTGCATAATCTGGATTAGATCACTACAGGTTGGCCAAAATGAATCAAACCAGTTTAGACCGATTTTAACTGGTTTCGGCCGGCTCAAAACCGATCAATCCAGCTTAGCCATGATCAAAGCAGATCAAACTGTATCAGACCATCTCAAACTGGTTCAAACTGGATCATACCAGTATAGACTGGTTCCAAACTGGATCAGACTGGATAAGACCGGATCAAACTGGTTCATACCGGATTAAACTGGTTTATCCCAGTCCAAAATAGGAGGAAACTGGTTCAATCCAGATAAAACCGGTTTAGACCGGTTCAAACTGGTTTAGACTATCTCAAACCAGAACAATCCAGTTTAGACCGGTTCAAATAGGATCAAAGAGGATCACACCAGATCAAACTAATTCATGCTGGATCAAACCGGTTTAGACTAGGCCAAAATCAGATCAAACCCCTTCAATCCAGATAAAATCAGTTAAGATCGGCTCAAACTGGTTTAAAGTGGTTCAGACCAAATCAAACGTGGATTAAACTGGTTTAGACTGGTTCCAAATGAGATCAAACTGGTTGGAACCGAATTAAACTGTGTTAGACCGCTTCAAACCAGATCAAAGTGGATCAAACCATATCAAAATGGTTCATACCGATGAAACCAGTGTATACCAGTCCAAAATCAAATCAAACTGGATCAATTCAGATAAAACCAGCTTAGACTGGCTCACACCGGATCAAACCGGTTTAATCTGGTTCAAACGAAATCAAACCACTCTAGAGCTGCTCAAACCAGTTTAGGCTGGCTCAAACTGGATCAAACCAGTTTAGTTTGGTTCAAACAGGATCAAACTGGATCAGACCAGATCAAACTGGTTCAAACTGGATCATACAAGTGTAGACTGGTTCAAATCCTGTTCAAACTAAATCAGACCATATCAAACTGTTTCAAACTGGATCAAACCAGTTTAGACCGGTTAAAAATGGATCAAACTGGATCAGACCGTATCAAACTGGTTCAAACTGGATCATACCAGTGTTAACTGGTTCAAAACTACATCAAATTGTATCAGACCAGATCAAACTGGTTCAAACTGGATCAAACCAGTGTAGACTGGATCAAACTTGATCAAATTGATTCAAAGCAGACTAAAATGATCAATCTGGATTAGTTCGCTATAGGACGGCCAAACCATATTTTACATGTTTAGACTGGTTCAAATCAGTTTAGACCGGCTCAAACTGGATCTAACCAGTTTAGGCTGGTTCAAACCGGATCAAACAGGGTTAGACCAGTACGAAATCAGATTAAACTGGTTTAGACCAGTACAAAAATGATCAAACTGGTTCAATTTGACATGGCAACAACTGGCTCAGCAAATACTTTATGCATGACCATATGCCTGGTACTATAATAGATGTCTGAACTAATATAGCACAACACCTGCCCCATGGACTCCATTTCAAGTGGGACGGTGGCTACAAGAACAAGTGTTTCCCATTACAAGATTATTAAGTTAGCTACAAAGTAGTAGATTTCATAATGGCATTTTTATACATGCTTTCTTCTTCCACACCCTGCCTTCTGGACTTTGCCTTCCCCTCCCCTGTGTCCCATTCTTGCTGTTTTTCCATTGCCCACAACAACCTACTTTCTGCTCTCCCAGTACAATATTGCATTATCTTCTTTCAGTGCCTCTGTACCAGAATCCTTCAGGTCTCTTTCCCTCTCCCAGTTCTCTAGTTTCATGAGTCATCCACACATGTACACCAACCCCTCACACATAGAAACTTAAACCAAGGCTCCACACAGGAGAGAAAACATAGTACTTATCTGAATACAGTTTATTTCAGTTAACATTCTGAATTGCAATTTGACCCATTTTCCTACAAATGTCATTTTTTTTACTTTTAGATGTGTGTGTGTGTGTGTGTGTGTGTGTGTGTGCCCACAGAGATGAGAGATGTCAGACCCTCCTGGGGCTGGTGTTACAGGTGGTTGTGAACTGCCTGGTTTGAGTGTTGGGAATCAAATGCTGGTCCTCTGGAAGAACAAGAAGTGCTCTTAATCACTGAGGCATATAGGCAGATCATGTGATAGTTTTGGTTGTAGTTTTCAAAGATTTGTTTATCTTTATTTTTATGTGTGTGAATACTTTTCCTGCATATATGTGGACATCCGTGGTGACTGTGGAGGCCAGAAGGGGATTCCCTGGAACTGAAGTTATAGACGGTTCTGAACCACCAAGTGGGTGCTGGGAACCAAACCTTGGTGCTCTGTAAGAGCAGCCAGTGCTTTTTCCTAAGACACCTGTCCCACCACTTTCTCATTTTTGACAAACCTACTTACTGATTTCCACAGTAGCTGCAATTTATATGTTCACTAGCAGTGATAAAGGTTCCTCTTTCCCCAAATTCCTACCAGCATTTGTTGTCATCTGTTCTGAGCTAATAAGGTGGCATTATAAATCATTTTAAATTCACCTTTCCCTGATGGCTTAGGATGTTGAACCCGTCATCAAATATCATTGGCCATTTCTATTTCTTCCTTTGAGGACTATCTGCTCACCTCATTACCTCATGTATTTGATTTAGTTTAATGTATAAGATTTGGTTTAATCTTGGCTGTTTTTACATAATAGTCCCCTATCCGATACAGAGTTGGCAATGATTTCTCAAATCTGTAAGCTGTATATTCAGTTGTGAGGTTGCTTCCATTGTTAGGCAGGTTTTTGATTTGCTATAATCCCATGTGTCAGTCCTTGGGTTGTGTTCTCTGCTGTCACAGTCCATTCAGAAGTTTCTGCCTCTGCAAAGGATGATTGTTGACACAGGACATAGTTGATGTGTCTTCCCTGCAGTTTCAGCATGTTCTGTCTTTACATGAAGTCTTTGATCTATTTTCAATGTTTCATGTAATGTGAGACTTAAGACTTGATTTCATTCTTCTATAGGTACATACCCAGTTTTCTCAGCACCATCTGTTAAAGAGGCTCTTTCCTAATGTATTTTTTGACATCTGGGTTTAAAAAAAAAATGAAGTAGCTGCTAGGGCTGGAATGATGACTCCATGATTAAGAGCACTTGCCGCTCTTGCAGAGGATACAGATTCAGTTACCAGCACCCATATTGCAGCTCACAATCCCTTATAGCTGTAATTCTAAGGTATCTGATGTCATCTTCAGGACTCCATAGGCACCTGGTATGCACATAGTGTACATACATACATATGTACATACATACATGATGCAAAACACTCTTACACATAAAATAGAATCTTAAAAACATAGTACTTATTTAAAGACAAACAAGGACTGGAGAGGTGCTCATCAGTTAGGAGTACTTGTTGCTCTCGAAAAGAGCCCAGGTTTGATTCCAAACATCCACATGGCAGCTTACAACCATCTGTTGACACCAGCCTCAAAGAATCTGGCTCCCTCTTACTTCCTTGGGCACCAGGCATACCCATGCTCTCAAAGCGCTCACATACACAATAAATAAATATGCATAAAAGCAAGTATAGAAGTTTTATAAGGCTAAATGTTAATTTTGATGTCTGTCAAGCTGAACACCATGAAGACGGAGAGCAGGAGAAATGTGAGGATGCTGAAGGAAGAGGTGCAAAAGCTGGACGGTCTTTACCAACAAACTCTGAAGGTAGGAGCTTGACCTGTGTGTTCATCTGACTCGAGTCTAAAATCTTAGCTGGATGTGGTGGTATACAAAAGCTAAGAGGAGGCCTCAAAACTCAGCCAAAAAAGCCAGGTGTGGTGTCATCACACCTGTAGTCCCAACATTTAGAAGACCCCATGGGATGATTGGCACAGGTTTGAGACCCACCTGGGCATAAGTAATTGTCCATTAAGAATCATTGCAAAGGACTAAAGAGATGGCTCAAAGCTCTGGCTGCTTTCCCAGTGCCCATGAGTTCCATTGTCCCATTGTGGTCCCAGCATCCACATAGTGTCTCACAACCATCAATAATGAGATCTCGTGCCTTCTTCTGTTATGCAGGCAGAACACTATGTACATAATAAATAAATAAGTCTTGAAAAAAATCATTGCAAACTTACTTTCCCAGCTAAATTTCCGTCATATTCTATTCTATTCTATTCTATTCATAAGAGCTCCAGAAGGCAGGTAAGGTGGAAGACCGACTGCCGCTGTTCTGTCCAGCCCTGAATTTTCAGACAGGCATTGAGACCCCGTTCACAAGCCATCATACAATTAAGTTTTACAACTGTGCCATTATTAGTTATATCTGCAAAGTATCACAAGTAGAAATGATTGTATTGCCCTATATTATATACAGGATGCTTTTTGAGCAGTGTAGAAGTTTTGGAAATTGTAACACAAAATTTGATCTGCATGTGAAGTTTGAAATATATGCCTATTATTTTTACTGTTATCATATTCCCTGCATGAAAGGTTAAGTTTATTCTTTAAAGCACTCAAGTGAAAGACTTTGTAAGTCCATACTTCAGCATCACAAACCTAGGAATCTGAGAATGGCTGGAACTAATTTTGCTTAACATAGTTTACATGTGTGTGGAATTTTAATCAAAGTACCAGGTTTCCTTAAATTAGACTTGAACCATTGTTAAATAGAGTGCTAAACAGAATCTTCCTTGAAGGGGCACATTTTTGTTTATCATATGGAGTCCCCACTGGAACATTTAGAAAAGTTAAGGGACCCATACATCCGAGGTCACTGAGTTCAGACTGGCTACACCAGAAACAACATCTGATACACAGATCACACTCCCTGCACAAACTCTCATTCCATTGCCTTCAGTTCCTCAAAAACTCGTTCAGTCATCAGAATGAGTTCAATGCCTCTGAGATTGAAGCAAAGCAGAGAACAAACGATATGTGTTCAGCCGTGCTGTTTCTAATACACACCCTGGCTTTGGTGCACAAACAACATTAAAATCACTTAAAAATGCCAATAATTTCTTCCACAATATATCAATCACATTACGGTCCACTCCTCTGAGTCACTAGTCCTCTTTCTACACACATCATGGCATGATTTCTTTACCGAGCTGTACTATATTTTGAAGCCTGCATGTGTTTGCCACGTAATCATAGAAGGCATTTGTGAGAAGGGTTCAATTCAAAAGGAGCTTTCCCATTACTAAATCTCAACGATCTCCCTAGGAAGCCCAAATAACTATAATATCCAAGTGCCAATATTGCAGTTACTCCAAATTTTAGCGATTGACCATCAAACCCAGAAAAGTTAAGGGACCCATACATCCGAGGTCACTGAGTTCGGACTGGCAACACCAGAAACACCATCTGATATACAGATCACACTCCTTGCACAAACTCTCATTCCATTGCCTTCAGTTCCTCAAACACTCGTTCAGTCCTCAGAATGAGTTCCATGCCCCTGAGTGTAATACCCAAGTGCCAATATTGCACTGACCCCAAATTTTAGTGATTGGCCATTAAACCTAGAAAAGTTAAGGAACCCTTCCATTTAAGGTCACTGAGTTCGGACTGGCAACACCAAGAATCCCATCTGATACACAGATCACACTCCCTGCACAAACTCTCATTCCATTGCCTTCAGTTCCTTAAAAACTTGTTCAGTCCTCAGAATGAGTTCAATGCCTCTGAGTGTGAAGCACAGAAGAGAACAAAGAATTTGTGTTCAGCCATGCTGTTTCTAATACACACCATGGGTTTGGTGCACTCCCAAGATTAAAATCACTTAAAATGCCAATAATTTCTTCCACAATATATCAATCACAGTATGATCCACTCTTCTTACTCACTGGTCCTCTTTCAACACACAACATGGTATGATTCCTTTACAGAGCTGTACTATATCCTGAAGCCTGCATGTGTTTGCCAAGTAATCACAGAAGGCATTTGTGAGAAGGGTTCGATTCAAAAGGAGCTTTCCCATAACTAAATCTCAAAGATCTCTCTAGGAAGCCCAAATAACTATAATACCCATGTGCCAATATTGCAGTGACCCCAAATTTTAGCGATTGACCATCAAACCCAGAAAAGTTAAGGGACTCTTTCATTTAAGGTCACTGAGTTCGGACTGGCAACACCAAGAATTCCATCTGATACACAGTTCACACTCCCTGCACAAACTCTCATTCCATTGCCTTCAGTTCCTCAAAAACTCATTCAGTCATCAAAATGAGTTCAATGCCTCTGAGTGTGAGGCAAAGCAAAGGAGAACAAAAGATATGTGTTCAGCAGTGCTGTTTCTAATACACACCCTGGCTTTGGTGCACTCCCAACATTAAAAATGCCAATAATTTCTTCCACAATATATCATAGTGAAAGACCCTCGACGAGGACCTCTTTTCGGGAGGAGACCTCCCCAACGCCAAGGAACAGGCCGAGACCGCACGGATGCAAATCGCAAGAGGTTTATTGAGTAGACACAGGTACCTGTGGGCAGCAAGATCTCTCGGAAGATTTGCGCACCTGCCAACTGGAGGGCGGGCTTTTTATAGGGAAGAGCAAAAAGCAAGTTTACAGAAGCAAAAGCGTGGTTATCGATCGACCGGAATGAGGCGGGGGCATGAATGGTTTCCCCTCTCAGCATGGGTGTCAGCAAGAAGCAAGTTTACAGAAGCAAAAGCGTGGTTATCGGAATGCGGCGGGGGGCATGAAAGGTTTCCTCTCTCAGCATGGATGCCTGGCAACAATCATCCTGTTCCTATCTTATAGCTAACCTGCTTTGTTGACATCCTATCTTATTGACATCTTGCCTTGCAGTCTTCCTATCTCTATCTCTTGCTCTCTCAGGCACATGGGATGTTCTAATGGGAGCAGGCTGGCTGCTGATCTGGAGAGTTTTTTTTAAAGCAAACAGGACGTTCCCCCGGGAGCATACTAGCTGCGGGTTTTGGGGAGGGGGTCTGTAGGGTCTTTCAATAGTATGATCCACCCTTCTGAATCAAGGTCCTCTTTCAACACACAACATGGCATGATTACTTTACCGAGCTGTACCATATCCTAAAGCCTGCAAGTAATAGCCATATTATCATAAAAGGCATTTGTTAGAAGAGTTCGATTCAAAAGGAGCTTTCCCATAACTAAATCTCACTGATCTCTCTAGGAAGCCCAAATAATGTAATACCCAAGTGCCAATATTGAAGTTACCCCAAATTGTAGTGATTGGCCTTTAAACCTAGAAAAGTTAAGGGACCCTTCCATTTAAGGTCACTGAGTTCAGACTGGAAACACCAAGAATCCCATCTGATACACCGATCACACTCCCTGCACAAACTCTCATTCCATTGTCTTCAGCTCCTCAAAAACTCGTTCAGTCCTCAGAATGAGTTTAATGCCTCTGAGTGTGAAGGAAAGCAGAGGAGAACAAACGATATGAGAGGATGCAAGTCATTTTAGGAGTTGAGTCCTTGTGGTAGGAGTGTGTCCTTGAAGGACACTACTTCTTTAAATGAGAGGCTTTCTCATTGCAGGAAGTGTGTCCTTGTGGGAGTGGGTGAGTCATTGTTTGAGGAGGCAGGACATCTTGGGAGGGAGAATGTCCGAGAGGGAAGAGCCATGGTATGAGGGTTTTTTCCTTCGGAGAGTGGGAGTGTCCTTGGAGGAGGGGGTGTGGCCTTGTGGGGAGGAGGTGTGCATTTGTGAGGGTAGGTGTGTCATTGTGGTAGGGGGTCCTGTCCTTGAGGGAGAAGGACTGTCACTGCAGTGTCCTTGCAGGAGGGGGACAAGTCCTTTTGGGAGTCTGTCTGTCCTTGTGTGAGAGGGATGTTATTGTAGAAGGTGTGTCCTAGGTGTGTCCTTGGAGAGGGTGTGCATTCTTTTGGATAGGGCACGTCGTCCTTGTGGTAGGAGGCTTGTTTTTGGTGGAGGAGACAGATGGGGGCTAATTGGAGGTGTGTCATTGTGGGAGAGGGTGTTTCCTCCTAGGAAGAGGCAGGTCCTTGTGGGATTAGGCATGTCCTTGTGGGAGGTGCTATGTCACTGAGTGAGGAGGAATGTCATTGCAGGAGGTGTGTGATTGTGGGATGTCCTTATGTAAGGTGGTATCTCCCTGTGGAAGGGGCATGTTGTTCTGGGAAGAGATGTGTATTTGGAGGTGGTGTGAACTTGAAGAAGGGGGTATGTCTTTGTTGGAGAGGGTGTGTATTTGTGGGCGGAGGCGTGTACTTGTGGGAGAAGTACAAGGAAGCTTGTCATTCAGGGAAAAGGTGTGTTCTTGTGGGAGTGGGCGTGTCCTTGAGGAAGGAGGTGTGTCCCAGTAAGAGTAGGTGTATCCTTGTGGGAGTAGGTAAGTGCTTTGTGGGAGGGATGTGTCCTTGTGGGAGTGGGTGTGTTTGAGGAGACGCGATATCTTGGGAGCAGGCATATCTTTGTGGAAGGAGGCATGTCTTTCTGGGAAGAGGTGTGTGTGTCATTGCAGAAGGAGTATCCTTGTGGGCAGAGGTATGTCTTCCTGTGAGGATGCATGCCATTGCAAGAGGCCTGTCCTTGTGGGAGAAGGCATGTCCATGTGGGCATTTCCTCCTGTCCTTGTGAGAGTAGGCGTGTCATTGTGATAGTGGGCATTCCTTGTGGGAGGGGCATGTCTTTGATGGAGGAGACTCATTGTAGGAGATGTGTCCTTGGGGAAGGCTACATCTCACCATGGGGGTTGCCCTTCTGGGAGGTGGGGTGATACTGATGGTATTAAGAGGTGATGTGAACTTGAGAGAGGGTGTGTATTAATCTAATTTTAAAATGACACTTTAGCTAACCCGATGCATCTAGGATATTATTTCTTCACATAACAGTTATACATTCAAAGACTTAAATTTTTAAGTTTTTATTTACTTATTATTTTAAAAAGAAGGTTTCTTGAGACAAGGTTTCTCTGTAGCTTTGGAACCTGTTCTGGAACTTGCTCTGTAGACTAGACTGGCCTCATACTCCCAGAGATCCATCCGCCTCTGCCTCTGGAGTGCTGGAATTACAGGCATGCATCACCATCATCCAGTTTAAAAGAGGTTTTCACAATATAGCTCTGGCTGGCTTAGAACTGGTTTAGACCAGGCTGGCCTCCAATTCACAAAGATCAAGCTGCCTCCACCAGTGCTAGAGTTAAAAGTCTGAGTTGCCACATCTGGCTGTTTTGAGTTTTAATTATGTGTGTGTGTGTGTGTGTGTGTGTGTGTGTGTGTGTGTGTGTGTATCTGTTGTGGACATGAGTGCAGTGTGAGAGCAGGCCAGAAGAGGGTACTGAGTCCCTAGGTGTTTGAGTTCCAGGGATCTGTGTGCCTCTTGTGGCCGGTGTGGGTAATCAGACTCCAGTCCTCAGCAGAAGCAGCACCTGCTCTTAACCACAGGGCCATCTCTCCAGCTCCCCAGTGACGCTGTTTGCATTGTACTAGGGACTAAGCTCAGTGCCTTGGGTGTGGAAGCACATGTCCTACCACTGAGTTACATTCTGGAGTCTGATAAAATGAAACATTTGATCTTCTCTCCTCATACGGCCTTTTTAGCCTGACGTGGGGTTCACACTGACGCTACGTTCTTAGTTTGGATTGCCCCAGCCCAGTTGCTCATGAGCTGCATGTGGAGTGGTTCTGGAGTTGTGTCAGCCACAAAGCCTGATTTCCTTGTCTGCGGCTGCGGGATAACGCCCACCTCAGGTTCCATAAGGATAAAATGAACAGTGTGGAGGTTTGTTATTACTGTGCATTCAGGAAAGTTTGTCTGGGGACTCTGCTCTCTCGGGTCGGGCTCCTGTGGCATCCTCTACTTTAGGAGAAGCAAAGGAAGTCATTTAGTTACACCAAAGTGTCTGCGGGAATGGAAAGCTCTCATCCTCCCAAGCGTGCGCAGACGGTGGAAAGGAAGAAACACTGGCTGAGCTCATTTGGTTTCAGCCTTTCGGTAGCTTGAATTGGATGTATATTGTTTCAGTCATGGGGTGGCTAACTTGGTGGTGGTGGGGTGTAGCGAGCTGCATGGTGTCACACCTGATGGAGATGTATAATCAACTTAGATGGCTAAGGCCTGACCTATGCTATGATTGAAAGACCCTACAGACCCCCTCCTCAAAACCCGCAGCTAGCATGCTCCCGGGGGAACGTCCTGTTTGTTTTAAACAAATCTCCGGATCAGCAGCCAGCCTGCTCCCATTAGAACATCCCAGGTGCCTGAGAGAACAGGAGATAGAGATAGGAAGACTGCAAGGCAAGATGTCAATAAGATAGGATGTCAACAAAGCAGGTTAGCTATAAGATAGGAACAGGATGATTGTTGCCAGGCATCCATGCTGAGAGAGGAAACCTTTCATGCCCCCCGCCGCATTCCGATAACCACGCTTTTGCTTCTGTAAACTTGCTTCTTGCTGACACCCATGCTGAGAGGGGAAACCATTCATGCCCCCGCCTCATTCCGGTCGATCGATAACCACGCTTTTGCTTCTGTAAACTTGCTTTTTGCTCTTCCCTATAAAAAGCCCGCCCTCCAGTTGGCAGGTGCGCAAATCTTCCGAGAGATCTTGCTGCCCACAGGTACCTGTGTCTATTCAATAAACCTCTTGTGATTTGCATCCGTGCAGTCTCGGCCTGTTCCTTGGCGTTGGGGAGGTCTCCTCCCAAAAAGAGGTCCTCGTCGAGGGTCTTTCATTTGATGCATGGGCCGGGAATTGAGACCCCCCACCCAGGGATCACCGACTCACCAACGGGAGGTAAGCTGGCCAGCTCTGTTAGTTGTCTTCTGTGTTCTTTGTTCAGTTGTCTTCTGTGTTCTTTGTCAAATTCTGTACACTCAGGTCTGAGTGCGCTGTACCTGGCGGAGGGAAGGGGGCTGACGAGCCTGGTACTTCTCCCCCGCAGTCCGTGGAAGACGTTCCACGGACATCGGAGTCAGGGAGTCAGTCCGCAAGGACTTCTGGAGCCCGATTCTTCGGAGCTCAGCCCGTATCCGAAGGATACGTGGTCCTAGTTGGAGGAGAGGGATCCGGACCCTCAGAGCCTCCGTCTGAGTTTTGCTGTGCTGCGCATCTGTTCTGTCTCTGTCTGTCCTGTCAGCATCTGTTCTGTCTCTGTCTGTCCTGTCAGCATCTGTTCTGTCTCTGTCTGTTCTGTCAGCGTCTGTTCTGTCTCTGTCTGTTCTGTCAGCATCTGTTCTGTCTCTGTCTTTGTGTGTGTTTTTTGGTTTTGTTTTGTTTTTTTGTTTTTATATTTGGTTCCCTTCTCTTCGAGAAGATGGGACAAACCCTAACCACCCCATTGAGCCTTACTTTAGACCACTGGCCTGACGTCCACGCCCGAGCCGACAACCTGTCAGTCGATGTTCGAAAGAAGAAATGGGTGATCTTTTGTTCGTCCAAGTGGCCTACTGTTGAATCAGAATGGCCATGAGACGGCACTTTCAATCTCAATATTATTTCCCAGGTTAAGGCAAAAGTGTTCAGCCCAGGACCACATGGACACCCGGACCAACGCGCCTACATTGTTACCTGGGAAAGTTTGGCACGTGACCCGCCCCTATGGGTCCAGCCCTTTGTCATCTCTAACAACATCTCTAACAAACCCCAACCTTCTCTTACCCCTATAGCCCCTAAGGCTCCCCCTCCCCAGGAAAGCCAACCACTTGTGCCTCTTCCTCCTGCACCTTCCCCTGCCCTACCCTCTTCTTCCCTATACCCCACCATTCTTAAGGAGAAGGTTCCCAAAGAAAAACCTCTGAAACCTACCCCTGCGCCCCCTCCCGTCCTTCCTCTGAACCCTGACTCTCCCCTCACTGACCTTCTATCAGAAGAACCCCCTCCTTATGCAGATCCAGAGGATCCAGAGAGTCCGGATGGGCCAGAGACTGCAGCGGCGGGTGGACAGCCTGCACAAGTCTCCCCAGCCCCTTCACCCATGGCGGGAAGACTCCGGGGAAGGCGCAAACCACCCCCTGATTCCACTACTCATGCCCTACCCTTGAGAGAGGGCCCAAACGGCCGACAGCAATACTGGCCATTCTTTGCCTCAGATCTATACTATTGGAAACACCATAACCCCCCATTCTCCAAAGATCCAATAACGCTGACTAACCTGATTGAGTCTATTTTAGTCACCCACCAGCCCACTTGGGATGATTGCCAGCAGCTCTTGCAAACCCTGCTGACCTCGGAGGAAAAGCAAAGAGTCTTTTTGGAGGCTTGGAAAAATGTCCCAGGCGACAACGGGAGCCCAACCCTTTTGCTTAACGAAATTGACGAGGCCTTCCCTCTGACGCGACCTGACTGGGATTTCACTACAGCTGCAGGTAGGGGACACCTACGCCTCTATCGCCAGTTGCTAATCGTGGGTCTCCGAGGGGCAGCACGCCGCCCCACCAATTTGGCCCAGGTTAAGCAAGTAATACAGGGAAATGAAGAGACGCCCTCAGCCTTCTTAGAAAGGCTCAAGGACGCTTATAGGATGTATACCCCCTATGACCCTGAAGATACAGGGCAAGCTACAAGTGTATCCATGTCTTCCATCTGGCAGTCTAGTCCGGATATTAGAAGCAAATTGCAGAGGCTTGAGGGTCTCCAGGGATATACTATACAAGACTTACTAAAAGAGGCAGAGAAGATTTTCAACAAGAGGAGAAACAAGGAATTAACTAGGGTGTTGGCCACCGTGGTTCAGGGACAGAATAGAGAGGGAGACAGGAAGGGAGAACGACGTAGGGCCAAGGTGGACAGAGACCAATGCGCCTATTGTAAAGAACGAGGACACTGGATTAAGGATTGCCCCAGGAGGAACAAAGGACCTAGAAAGCCCAGGCCCCGAACCTCCCTCCTCACCTTAGAGGATTAGGGAACTCAGGGCCAGGAGCCCGCCCCCCCCGAGCCCAGGATAACTCTTGATGTCGGGGGGCAACCAGTCACCTTCCTAGTAGACACCGGGGCCCAGCATTCAGTCCTGACTCAGACTTCAGGGCCACTCAGCGAACGATCTGCTTGGGTCCAAGGAGCCACTGGTGGCAAGAGATATCGATGGACAACTAATCGGAAGGTTCAGCTGGCTACTGGTAAGGTGATGCATTCCTTTCTGCATGTTCCGGACTGTCCCTATCCCTTGTTGGGTAGAGACCTCCTCACCAAGCTAAGGGCCCAAATTCATTTTGAGGACACAGGGGCTAAGATAACGGGCCCAGATGGAGGTCCCCTCCAAATTTTGACCCTCCAGCTGGAGGATAAATATAGACTTTACGAGCCCCCGGGGCAACAGACAATTGACATGGCCCCTTGGCTCAATGACTTTCCATTGGCATGGGCAGAGACTGGGGGAATGGAGATGGCTATACAACAACCTCCACTCATCATTCAATTGAAGGCAACAGCTACTCCTGTTTCAATCAAGTAGTACCCCATGTCCCATGAAGCATATCATGGCATAAGGCTCTCCTACAGACATTGGGACAAGCAGGCTATCGGACATCAGCCAGGACGGCTCAGATATGCCAGAAGCAAGTCATTTACCTAGGTTATCAATTAAAAGATGGACAGAGATGGCTGACCGAGGCGCGCAAACAGACCATCACTAACATTCCTGCCCCCCGGAACCCCCGCCAGCTAAGAGAGTTCCTGGGAACAGCGGGATACTGCTGCCTCTGGATTCCAGGGTTTGCAGAGCTGGCTGCACCCTTGTATCCATTAACTAAACAAGGAACAATGTTTGATTGGGGGGAGGACCAACAGAGGGCTTTCGAAAACATTAAGAAAGCCTTGTTAGCCTCCCCTGCTCTAGGCCTCCCTGACATTACCAAGTCTTTTGATTTGTTCGTGGATGAAAAGCAGGGTTACACTAAAGGGGTCCTAACTCAAAAACTGGGCCCTTGGAGGTGTCCTGTAGCTTACCTCTCAAAGAAACTCGACCCAGTAGCTTCAGGGTGCCCGCCCTGTCTGCGAATGGTAGCAGCTATTGCAGTCCTCACCAAGGACGCGGGTAAACTGACTCTGGGCCAGCCATTGACTATCCTGGCGCCCTATGCAGAGGAGGCTCTGGTCAAACAGCCTCCAGACCGCTGGCTCTCCAATGCTCGCATGACTCATTACCAAGCAATGCTCCTGGATACGGACTGGGTGCACCTTGCTCCCCCTGCCGGAGGAAGCCCAACACCATGACTGCCTCCAGATCCTTGCGGAAATACACAGGACCAGGCCGGACCTGACGGATCAACCCCTCCGAGATGCTGACTATACTTGGTATGTGGATGGCAGCAGTTTCCTGGCAAATGGGGAACGAAGAGCGGGGGCAGCAGTGACAATGGAGACTGAGGTAATTTGGGCAGAAGCCCTTCCCGCAGGCACCTCCGCCCAGAGGGCTGAACTCATCGCTCTGACCCAGGCACTCCGGATGGCAGAAGGTAAGAGGCTAAATGTTTATACGGATAGCCGATATGCCTTCGCCACGGCTCACATACATGGGGAAATTTATCGAAGACGTGGGCTGCAGACCTCAGAAGGAAAGGAAATTAAGAACAAACTTGAAATACTGGCACTCCTAAAGGCCTTATTTTTGCCCCAAAAATTAAGTATTATGCACTGCCCTGGGCATCAAAAGGGCCATAGCCCTGAGGCAAAGGGAAATAGACTGGCAGATGACACTGCTCGAAAGATTGCTATGAAATCAACCAAGACCTCCCAAGTTTTCCCCTTGATGAACCCGAAAGAGGCCCCAGCCTCCAGTTCGCTACCCTATAGTACAGAGGACTTTGATCTCCTAAAGAAAATGGGGGCCACATATGACCTCAAAAAGCAACATTGGGTTTTTAAGGAAAAGATTGTTATGCCAACAAAACATACTTATAAAATAATAGACTACTCACATAAATTGACCCATTTGGGGCCAAAGAAGATGAAGACCTTGTTGGACAGACAGGAGTCAGGCCAACACCTCCTGAACAGGGGTGGAGCCCTGCAAAAAGTGACTGATGAATGCCAAGCCTGCGCTCAGGTAAACGCAGGCAGAACCAAGCTTGGTCCAGGAGTTCGGGTATGGGGACATCATCCCGGAGTACATTGGGAGATCGACTTTATGGAGGTTAGGCCAGGTCTCTATGGGTACAGATACCTCTTGGTGTTCATAGACACTTTTTCAGGATGGGTGGAAGCCTTTCCCACCAAACACGAAACCGCAAAGGTGGTGACCAAAAAGCTCTTGGAAGAAATCTTTCCCAGGTACGGAATGCCTCAAGTCTTAGGCACCGATAATGGCCCTGCCTTCATCTCCCAGGTAAGTCAGTTGGTGGCCAAACTCCTAGGGGTCGAATGGAAATTACATTGTACATATAGACCCCAAAGTTCAGGGCAGGTAGAACGCATGAATAGAACAATTAAGGAGACCTTATCCAAATTAACGCTTGCAACTGGCACTAGAGACTGGGTGCTCCTCTTGCCACTGACCCTGTACAGAGCCCGCAACACTCCAGGGCCTCATGGACTGACACCTTTTGAAATCCTATATGGAGCTCCTCCCCCATTTATAAATTTCTTTGATTCAAACATTGCCGATTTTGCTGACAGTTCTTCTCTGGAAGCCCATTTACAGGCGTTACAGATTGTGCAAAGAGAGGTCTGGAAGCCACTCGCCGCTGCTTACCGAGACCAACTGAACCAGCCGGTGGTACCGCATCCCTTCCAGATAGGAGATACTGTTTGGGTCCTCAGACACCAGACCAAAAACTTGGAACCTCGGTGGAAAGGCCCTTACACTGTCCTTCTGACCACTCCAACGGCACTGAAGGTTGACGGCATTGCAGCCTGGATCCATGCCTCACACGTTAAGGCCGCCCATACAGCTGAGAAAGCGGAGCCCGCTGCGACCCCAGCATGGAGAATCCAACGCACTCAAAACCCCTTAAAGATAAGGCTTACCCGTGGGGCCCTTTGACTATTATATGGGCCCTACTAAGACTGGGGATGGCGACACAAGAAAATAGCCCACACCAGGTTTTCAATGCACCCACCAGCTACACTTCCATCCCCCAGCATAAGCTGACCCTGTCTAAAGTATCTGGACAGGGACTTTGCATAGGGACTATTCCCAAAACCCACCAGGCCTTATGTAACTGCACCCAAAAGGTGTCCAGAGGGACCTATTACCTAGCTGCCTCCAACAGGACCCATTGGGCATGCAGTACTGGATTAACCCCATGCGTTTCAGTTGCTGTGCTCAGTGAAACCTCTGATTATTGCGTTCTAATGGAATTATGGCCCAAAGTTACATACCATGATCCTGAATACATCTATAGTCATTTTGAAGGGAGACCCCGATTTAGGAGAGAACCAGCCTCCCTAACTTTGGCCTTATTGCTGGGAGGCATCACTATGGGGGGAATAGCGGCAGGGGTGGGCACAGGGACCACCGCTCTTATGGAGACCAGCCAATTTAGACAACTTCAGGCAGCCATGCATACTGATATCAAGGCACTGGAAGAATCAGTTAGCGCACTCGAAAAGTCCTTAACCTCCCTCTCAGAGGTAGTCCTACAAAACAGGAGGGGGCTAGACTGGTTGTTTTTGCGAGAGGGAGGGTTATGTGCGGCGCTCAAAGAGGAATGCTGCTTCTATGCGGACCTCACTGGGCTGGTGAGAGACAATATGACAAAGCTTAGAGAGAGGTTAAGACAGAGACAAAAGATGTTCGAATCACAACAAGGATGGTTCGAAGGATGGTTCAATAAGTCTCCCTGGTTTACAACTCTATTGTCTTCTTTGATGGGTCCCTTGATTATCCTCCTTCTGATACTCCTGTTTGGGCCTTGCATCTTAAACCGCCTGATCCAGTTTATAAAAGACAGGCTGTCAGTCATTCAGGCCCTAGTACTGACCCATCAGTATCACATGTTACCACAACAAGATACTGAGGTTCTGTAATTGCTTTGAGTAAAAGATTTAACTCATTAACAAAAAGAAAAAGGGGGAAATGAAAGACCCTACAGACCCCCTCCTCAAAACCCGCAGCTAGCATGCTCCCGGGGGAACGTCCTGTTTGTTTTAAACAAATCTCCGGATCAGCAGCCAGCCTGCTCCCATTAGAACATCCCAGGTGCCTGAGAGAACAGGAGATAGAGATAGGAAGACTGCAAGGCAAGATGTCAATAAGATAGGATGTCAACAAAGCAGGTTAGCTATAAGATAGGAACAGGATGATTGTTGCCAGGCATCCATGCTGAGAGAGGAAACCTTTCATGCCCCCCGCCGCATTCCGATAACCACGCTTTTGCTTCTGTAAACTTGCTTCTTGCTGACACCCATGCTGAGAGGGGAAACCATTCATGCCCCCGCCTCATTCCGGTCGATCGATAACCACGCTTTTGCTCTGTAAACTTGCTTTTTGCTCTTCCCTATAAAAAGCCCGCCCTCCAGTTGGCAGGTGCGCAAATCTTCCGAGAGATCTTGCTGCCCACAGGTACCTGTGTCTATTCAATAAACCTCTTGCGATTTGCATCCGTGCAGTCTCGGCCTGTTCCTTGGCGTTGGGGAGGTCTCCTCCCAAAAAGAGGTCCTCGTCGAGGGTCTTTCATGATCACGCAATGATTATCAGCCACCTGGCAGTTCGGGGTTGGCAGCCCATGTCTACTTAAGGGCTGGGAGAGGTTTGCCCAGAGAGAGAGAAAAAAAGGAGAGAGGAGAGAGGGGAAGAGAGAGAGAAGTGATAGAAGTCCTGGAATAAACTGCAGTGAGAAGAGCTCCGGTGGTCATGTCATCCTTGCAGGTCAAGGGTGGACGCGACAGTGGGGTGGATGTTGACATGATCAAGCGATGCGTGAAGGTAGAGTGTTCTTCACTTCTGGGCATGTCCCTGAGTGT